CTCTCTACCCCGTCTCCCTCCTGTTCCCTTTCTCCTTACCCTGTCTCTTATACACATCTAGATGTGTATAAGAGACAGGCTCCCCTGACCGCCTCCTACCCGTCTTTCCCTTGTCAGACTTTTCTCTGTGGTAACTAACCCACCTGGATTCTTTTGTCTTGTTCCTGCCTCGTATCTTTATTATCCTATTACCTGTTCTCTACTCTTGCCCATACTCTTGATCTGGTCTCCCTTTGTCTTCTCCTCTTCTCATTTTCTGCTTCCCCTTCCCCCCGCTACATGCCTGTGCCTCTGTGCATTCTCCCCTATCTTCATCCTTGTACAGCTCTTGTATAATCTTGTTGCCTCTCGTCTTCTGCCCTCTGTCCTTGTTCTGCTCTCCAACTCCCCTCCCCTTCTTGCTGCCTCCGTTGTATCTTGCTGCCTCGCCTCTCTGCTCTTCTTCCTTCCTCTCCACTGCTGTCCTCCTGTCCTCCTCTTGTCCTGTCCTCCTCTCCTGCTCTTCTTTCCTCATTCCCGTTTTACACCGTACTCCCCTCCCCCCTCCAACAAAAATATTGTCATTGGTAGATTGTTATCCGTATGCATGCTCATACATGTACAGTCGCAGCGATGGAGTTCAAGCAGAGGAAGATGATTATCACACAGGAAGGAAACAAGGGCAGAGCACAGATCATACCTAACTGATTATATGCATAGACAATGCCTGTCAGCAGAAGACCTGTGTTGTTGTGAATCGTGCCACCTGTGGTCCTCTCTCTCTCTCCCTCTCTCCCTCTCTCCCTCTCTCCCTCTCTCCCTCTCTTGTGAAATGCGCCACCTGTGGTCTTTTCTCTCTCCCTCTCTCCCTCTCTCCGTGAATCCCTCTCTCCGCCTACCTCTTTCCCTCTCTCCCGCTCTCCCTCTCTCCCTCTCTCTCCCTCTCTCCCTCTCTCCCCCTCTCTCCCTCTCTCCCTCTCTCCCTCTCTCCCCCTCTCTCCCCCTCTCTCCCCCTCTGCCCCCCTCTCCCCCTCTGCCCCTCTCTCCCCCCCTCTCCCCCTCTCTCTCCCTCTCTCCCTTTGTCCCCCTCTCCCTCTCTCTCCCCCTCTCCCTCTCTCCCCCTCTCTCCCTCTCTGTCCCTCTGTCCCTCTGTCCCTCTGTCCCTCTCTCTCCCTCTGTCCCTCTCTGTCCCTCTCTGTCCCTCTCTGTCCCTCTCTGTCCCTGTCCCTCTCTCCCTGTGCCTCTGCCCCTGTCCCTCTGCCCCTCTCTGTCCCTCTGTCCCTCTCTGTCCCTCTGTCCCTCTGTCCCTCTGTCCTCTGTCCCCTGTCCCTCTGTCCCTCTGTCCCTCTGTCCCTCTGTCCATCTGTCCTTCTCTCCTTCCCTCCTCTCTCTCCCTTTCTCGTTTCTTTTATGCTTTAACAGTTTCAGGGCACTATGTCATTTACGTCCGGAACCAGTTGCTTGTGAAATTGTGAAATGAAATTTTGAATTTTACAGGGTTGCTTTCCAATATTGCAAGTGTTGAGGAGTATGCCCAGATTGCGGACAAGGCAGGGGCCATCGAAGGTGCTGTTGGCGTTCTACAGCGCCCCATGATTTCGTTTGAGGTAAGTGCGAATAAAGTCTGAACATTCATTGATTGACTATGATATATGATGATCATTGATCAGTGTCATGGTCCCAGGCCATTACTAACTTACCCATTTGTAAACCAACAGCAAGAGTTTTGTTGTGGTCTTGGTAACCCAATGGCGGTGATGATTAGAGTGATTTTAAAAGCTGCAAAACTTCTTAGGAAAACAAGTGAATGAAGTGTTTAAACTTTAAACTTAAAACTTAAAATGTCAAGCTGAGCAAGTTGGTGGACACTCGTCATCCTTCCCCTTCCTCTTCCCCTCCTTCCCCTTCCCCTCCTTCCCCTCCTCCTTCCCCTTCCCCTTCCCCTTTCCCCTTCCCCTTCCCTTCCCCTTCCCCTTCCCATCTGTTTGCCATTCCCCATCTCTCAAGTTGTTAGGGTTCCAGATTTTAGTGCTTTTTTTTTTTTTTTTTTTTTTTTGATTCCCAATTGTGCTGAAACTTACGGTCCGCAAGATGGTCTCAATTTCTGAATTTCTGTATACCGCTGTGGCATTTGTTTTCACTGTGTAGAGAGCAAAGATCTCTTATCTGTGTGCACTATGTGCACAACATCACAAAGCTCGTATCTTAATCAGGCATCCATTAAAATCGGAACGATACAGAGAAAGAAGATTAGCGTGGCCCCTGCGCAAGGATGACACGCATAAATCGGGAAATGGTCCAAATTTTTTAGAATCGGGCTGCTTTTTACTTAGTAAGTCTGGTTGGTAACAGAAGTCATGAATACAATTGATGCACCCCATCTGTAAACAAACAAGCAAGCCGACGTTGAAAGTAAGGAATAGAATCCTAGAAGTAAGTAAGTGTAGAAAGGAATGCATGAATGAAACAAAAAGTAGAAAGAAAATGAGTAAAAGATTTAGCTCTTCCTGTGTCTGCGCCGATTGGATTGCAGGTGATACTGTAATGAACGCCTATGCTACCGAATCAGTTGTATGTCAGGGAGCGTTGTCTTTTTCTGATTGTGTGTGTGTGTGTGTGTGTGTGTGTGTGTGTGTGTGTGTGTGTGTGTGTGTGTGTGTGTGTGTGTGTGTGTGTGCGTGCGTGCGCGCGCACAGACGTGTTTGCTGAGTGTTGTTGTGTACTTGCTTAGGGAGTATAGTATCTTCAGTATTATCCAGAACGTGGAAGCTCTGGACGTGGAGAGAACAGGTAGAACTCCAGGAGGATGGGAGTCCAGGTGCACTTTCCATCCACCTGAACTTCCACCTGGATTTCCACATGGGCTTTCCATATCCACCTGGACTTCCATGTGGGCTTTCCATATCCGCCCGAATCTCCCACGTGGGCTTCCATATCCACCTGGTTTTCCGTGTGGGCTTCCGTTGTCCACCTCGACTTTCACTTCCAGATGGAGTTCCGGTGGACGTTCAGGTGGACGTTCAGGTGGACGTTCAGGTGGACGTTCAGGTGATCGAAGCTCCGGTCGACTGTCATAGACTGTTTGCTTGTTGTTCCCGTCATTCAGCGGGACATGCAGGGTGTCTGATTGCACGTCCTCCTGAATGGTATTGACTCTTGAGACTTCAGGGGTTGTAACTTGGAACTCTGTGAGCTGAGTGCGTGCTCGTCGTCCTTGTTGGTTGCTGTTGCGGCTTCGGGGGGTTCTGATCGGGAGCTTGGGAGTTATTGCTGTAATCTTACGTTGGGGAGAGACGGGTGACAGCTGAGGTGGCTGCGATTCTCGTGAACATAACAAAGAACTCCGTGTGCCGAGCATCCGCCTGTCCTTCCTGTGGTCGGTGTTGAGGCTTCAGGGGGTTCTGATCGGGAGTTATTGTTGTAATCTTACGTTGGAGAGAGACAGGAGGTGGCAGCTGAGGTGCCGATTCTTGTGAACATAACGAAGAACTCCGTGTGCCGAATGTCTGCCTGTCCTTCCTGTGGTCGGCGTTGAGGTTTCAGGGGGTGGTTCTAATTCGGAAATTGGATTTGTTTGTGATGTACGTCTATGTCGGGGAGGACAGGTGAAAGTTCAGGCAGCCGGAATTCTCGTGAACATAACGAAGACGGAATGGGGAAGGAAACGCGTAGCTGATCTTGAGGTTGTTCCTCTCCTGTTGACGATGGTGCAAAGAGGTGTGAAAGAGGAGAAGGAGGCGGCAGCCGAGGTGCTATCCAATATTGCTGCGAGCCGGAGCTTCTGTAAGATCTTTGCTGAAGCAGGTGCTGTGCACAAACTGGTGAGACATCCAACTAACTTAACCTGCTCATTCAAAAAAGAACCTTTTTTTTTTTTCCCCAAAAAGAACCCTGACATCGTCAAGTCCCTAATCTCTATCTGGCTACTACTGATACTGTAGTCTCCTCATCGAGCTGCTGGAATGCAAGGGCGGAGGTGGCGGGCCGGAAGGGGGACGGGGAGGAGGGGGGGGGGGGGGGGGGGGGGGGGGGGGGGGGTGTCCTTTTTCAGGGCTTTACACACCCAATGAGACCAGCTTGAAATACTGAATTTCTGTTTTCACTTTTGTCTTTTCTCTCTTTTTTTCCCCTTACTCATCTGCTTCTAGTGGAACTCGAACTCGGGTCCCCAATTATTCTGAAAGTTCAGGGGTGTACAAACTGACCTACCGTCTTCACCCGAATAGAACGCCCGGTCATTATCGCTGCATCTGGACTGAAAGTTGTGCCAAATACAGCTATAATGACCGGGCGTTCTATTCGGGTGAAGACAGTAGTCCAGCTGGTATATATTATTTATAGAACTGATATTGAGAACTACACGGAAGTGAACCTTTTTTTTAATTATTTATTATTATTATTTTTATTTTTAACCGTGAGTGAAACATACGGTGCTCGGATTTGATGATTTACTGGATCAGCTGTGCATATCCTCTGACGTATGGTAAGTTTCAGATTCATGTTGATTGGTAAATGAATCTCAATCTATGTCGCTTACGGTGAACTTGTAGCTGGCGGTGAGTTTTTCACCTTTTTCTCTATTCATTGTAAGTTTTGGTTTAGGGTTTAGTTCACAGATTTACAAAGCTTGCTGTGAAGTTATCTGTTGTATATCCTTTTCTTTTTTTTTCTTTTTTTTTTTTTGAAAAGCCAGGGCGACTACACTAGGGGGGGGGGGGGGGGGGGAAGGGGGGATACGAACAACCTTGCCTAGTGTGTGTTCCGGATGCTCCATTTATGTTGTATATCTTGAGGAAGATAATAAGATTATAAGAGGTTTTAAGTCCCGTCTGTTATGTATGGTATGATACGCGGCGGATTCCGCGCCTATTACAGGGGTTGCCATGCTCATGCTCAAATTGGGCCTAAACTGGCTGAGCATGCTGGTCTTGTCTGCTCCCTTCTTGCAACTGTTTGTGCTGCAGGGGTGTGAATGAAACTTAACAGTAAATCCGGTCCGGTGTGTACTGCCTTGCACTTGCTGTAAGTTCAAACCTTGGCGCGTTGTGGTGTGTATCTATTATCATCCCCGACGGAGTCTTATCGATCCTTATCTGTTGGCTGAGCGTGCTGCTCAACCCGTCGTTTCTCCTTGTGCTCTTCGTCTCCAAGTTGCTGCCTGTCGTTTGATTTGATTGTTGCACTTCGCTTGCAGGGGATATCATTAATTAATTATGATTAAAATGATTAATTAGTGATTTGAATGCCCTGCCTAATCTTCTATTAGTCCTGATGGGAGTGGTGATCGGAGTGCTTGAGACAGCCAGTGATTGGAGTGCTGGACGGATCGAGAAGTCAGTCCTGATTGATGATTTGAATGCTCCGCAATTTGAATCCCTCATTCTCTGTGGGGAGATGTTGATAGTCCTTCTGCATTTACGTGCTCGGATTGCATCTGTTTGTCACTATTATGATGTGAAGTTCGATTTGACTGTACGTCCTGATTTGTGGTTCACGCCTGCGGGTCATCTGTGCGGCAATCTGTGTGACAAGTGTGTGACACTGTGTGCCCTGGAAAAAGGACTCTCTCTTGTTGTTGCCTGTGGAGGGGACCTCAGTTAGGCGGTGGTTTCCACCCTCTGTCCCATTCATCGCGGACAGCATCACCCAGGTCTGCTGCTAGCAATCAAAGGATGCTTTTTTTGGGGAAGAATGAATTGAAGTGATAGTGATTGAGGTTACCTTGGGCACCTGGCCAAGCACTATGGCCCAGTCACCCCTGGCTCACCTGCCTGGGTACCTGGGCAATCGTCAACGAGGGTCTTTTCTCTTCTTGGTCTGTTTTCTGCACTCTCGGAGACCTGCCAGGGTCTGGTGTTCTTTTGATTCTAGGGTGATTGTCCTTTCGCGGGGGGGGGGGGGGGAGGTGGGGGGTGGTTGTTGGGTGGAGGATGCTTACACATGAACACACAGGTTCCCAGCAGGAGCTGTTCCCAAAAAATGAGGGTGCCTTGTCTCTTTCTCCCCCCGTACCTCATTACACACTTTTTTTTTTCCTTCTTAAATGGGTCTCAAGGTGTGCTATGCGCAAGCCGAGATGCAGGAGGGAATAAAGGAGGATGAGGACGGCGATGAGAGAGAGGAAGAGGAGAGAGAAAAGATGCAGCCCCCCTTCTCACTCTTAAGAAGTACCATTTGTTCTGTCCAAATTGGACGCATCACGTGGCAACCTCCGAAGTACGGATGGAGGAGTAGGAGGGGGAGAAGGAGGGGAAGGAGGAGGAGAAGGATGGCATCGATGAGGAGGATAGCGATGATGATGTTGTCTATGAGGAAGAGTAGGATGGGGAGGAGACAGGAGTACAATAATGTTCTCAATCAGGAAGAGGAGGAGGAGGACGATGTCATCGATGATGATGAGGAGGAGGACGATGTCGTCAATGATGACTAGGAGGAGCACGATGTTATGGATGAGGAATAGGAGGGGAAGGAGGAGGAGACGACAATGTCGTTGATGAGGAAGAGGAGGAGGAGGAGGAGCAGGAGGAGGACGAGGACGAGGACGATGTCGATGAGGAAGAGGAGGTGGAGGACGATGTCACCGATGAGAAGAGCAGGAAGATGTTGTGGGTGAGGAACAGGAAGACGAGGAGGAGGACGTGGTCGATGAGGAATAGTAGTAGGAGGAGGAGAATGAGGACAATGATGGCGGCCAAAATGAGGCGGAGGAGAGGGAGGACTTGGAGAAGAAGAAGAAGAAGAAAACCCGCCTTTGGGCACGGTAATGGTGGTCAATGACGGCTGTGGGCAGGTACTTTGGGCAGGGGGCAGCGGCGCAATAGTGAGCACCTTCAGGAGATGGGGGTGACGAAGAGGGGAGAGCAGCCATGGCTACCGTCTTCACCCGAATATAACGCCCTGTCACTATAGCTGTATTTGGGGCAGTTTTCAGTCCAAGTGCAGTGATTATGACCGGGCGTTCTATTCGGGTAAAGAGGGCAGGGGATAAGCTTCGTGTCGGTTGCAAATGCCCTCACTGTGAAACCATGGGGCATTCAAATTTGAATGCCTCTCAGTTTCCTGCTGAGGGAACCCATACTTCTGAGGTGTCAATTTGGAAGCTCAACAGTCCAGATCTTTCTGTGGAAAAAGTGTGGGACCTTAGAACTTCTGTTTTTTTTTTTTTTTTTTTTTTTTTTTGTGCGATTGGACCTCGCTGCAGCCTCGTAAGTTTGGCCGTGGCCAAATTTTCTTTTTGATGCCGTTTGAGCGCCTAGGACCTGGACCGAGTCAACTGCCTGGCCAGGCAGCTATCAGGGCAGATCAAGGTGAGCCGGGTGCGTGTAAGGTAACCTAGGTGGTGGTTATAGAGAATTGTCATGTCTTTTTTTTGGCCCCCAAAGGCATCAGATGTGGGGAACGTTTGCAGGAGGTGCTCACTTTTTTCCTTTTTACAACGTTTTCTTCTTTTTCAATTCAAAAATAGGAATCTTATCTGTCCTGTGAGGGAGGAGTGCGGGGTGGGAATTGGGGGAGTAAGGGGTTCTGCATCCAACCTGTTGCGGCGGTTGGAGACGCACATGATGTGCATGCATACAGTGAGCATGAATATAGGTGCCAAACACCCTTATACCTGATATTGTAGGGGGTCAAGCGAACCCCTCTTGTCATGCATTGGCCATGATGTTCTGCGTCCTTGAACCCATGCATTGTCCAATATCATGGGACCTTGACTCTGCACAGTTTGGCCCCTTCTTGGGGGGGGTATGCTATAAATGTTTGTTACGTGTGGTTAGAGTTCTATGATGAGCTAGCTCCGTTACAAGCAGCCAGGTGTCCTGGAATCTGAGGATGTGGATACATGTGTCGAGTCTGAGGCCGGGGACCAGTGTTGTGCATGCATGTCTGTGGTCAGGAATGCGGGTATGTTCAAACCCATGTGCATATATGTCAGCACCTGAGGACCTGTATCTATGTCAAACCTGAGGTCAAACCTGAGGCCAAACCTGAGGTCAAACCTGAGGTCAAACCTGAGGTCATGTATGACAGGGGTAAGAGGTTTTAGTAGTTTGACCCATATGTTACCCCCTGAATGTTTTGCTGGTTCCACCAACTGGTCTCATCCCGAAATGGGATTCGAAGTTCCAAGTGTTAGGCTTGACGAGAACGCAGGTACAAATAAGTTTTTATTTTTTATTTTTTTAATATGTTTAACAGGTTATTGCATTCCAAAGACAGATTGAGGCCGGGGACCTCAAATAATATTTTGAATCAACACATATGTCTACTCCTTCAGGGCATATGGGCATATCAATGGTCAAACCTGAGGTCAAACCTGAGGTCAAACCGGAGGTCAAACCTGATGCCAAACCTGAGGTCAAACCTGAGGTCAAACCTGAGGTCAAACCTGAGGTCAGATTTTGCTGTGTTTCCATTAGAGCAAGTTTGGCTAACATGGCTCTGAGCAGTGTGTGTGTTTCACTGTTTCATCATGTCTTTGTCTTGCTGGTAATGGTTTTTTTTTTTTTTTTTTTTTTTTTTTTT